TTTCCATCGTCACTCCATCATCCTAATACTTGGTAGGTCCTCCGTTTGACTTAATAACTGCCTGCAAACGTCTCTTCATACTACTTATTAGCCTTGACGTTTCAAAGGTGGTGATTTTCGCCCACTCAGCGCGTAGGGCCTCTTTTAGAGAATTCTTCGAAGTTATTCGGTGTGATCGAATCTTCCTTTCCAACAGGTGCCATACGTGCTCAATGGGATTCAAATCCGGTGATTGGGGTGGTGTTTTAAACTGCTTGCAGTGGTATATGAGCCACTCCTGCACAAGATATGACGAATGTTTTGGGTCATTATCTTGTTGAAACTGCCAATCAGTGCCACTGAGACCTAGTTTTTGAACACTTGGACTTAAATTCTCTTTGAGAATGTCTCTATAAACATGTTTGTCCATAGTCTCATCAATAAATACCAAGTTTCCAACTCCTGAAGCAGCAAAACACCCCCAAACCATCACATTGCCTCCACCGTGCTTAACAGTTTTGAGCAAGTTATTTTCTTGAAGCTCCTTCATAGGTTTCCGCCAAATTTTTTGCGCTCCATCAGACCCAAAAAGATTAAATTTAGATTCGTCACTAAAAATAATTGTGTTCCAAAATGAATCCGGCTGATTTATGTGTTGTTTGGCGAACTCTAGCCTCCTTTTCTTGTTCACCCTCGAAATAAAAGGCTTGCGCCTAGGAACACGACCATGATACCCGGCATTATGCAGGGTATTTCGAACAGTTTGTGGGGGTGAAATTACTGTCAAAAGATTCTTGTAGGCTCTCGCATAATTTCACAGCCGAAGTATGTGGATTTTGGGCAACTGTGGACACCACAATCCGTTCCTGGCGTTCTGTTAATATTTTAGGCCGGCCTGATCTGCGTACTGGAGCTATTTTTCCCGTTTGTGTGTAATGCATAATAATATTTCTCACACTAGACCATGATCTGTCTACAAGAGTGCCAATTTCACGATAAGATTTATTCTCTAAATACAGTTTAATGATTAATTTCCGTATTTCCAAAGAAATTTCTGCACCTCTAGCCATTTTTCTCTTGCTCTCTTAAATTTTCGATTAGAAGTTATTGCAAACACGTGCAAAAACCAAAACGAAGCGATGTGTAAAAGAAGGAATGAAAAATAACGGTAGTTTACGGTTGTAGCAACGAAAGCGTAAGCTAGAACATAGTGTGTGCCAATACTTTTTTTACGAAAATTTGTGCCTATATTTATATTTTAGTTCTGTGCAAGTGAACCAAACAAGAAATTTAATTTTTTTTTTGTTAAATATTATTAGAAAACATGGATTTAATAAATGCCGTTTTTAATTTATATATAGCTGTGTTCAAAAAAAAGTTACAGCTCTTAGAAGTTCGATTTTTCAAGTGTGCCAATACTTTTTTGACCCACTGTATGTATGTTATATGTGTATATGTTATAAGTGTATTTATGCTCTCTCTTGAGCTGGGGCGATTGTGCATATGCATACACTTGAGTTCTGTCAAGTGGTCGGCGCGTCTCAGCAGAATGCTGACACTTGCATATTCTGGGAGAGCGACGACCGACCCATATTTCGGCCACGGGTTAAAGACCGGGTTTCTGTTTAAATAAACACAGCAACAAAGTGTTACAGTGCGTACTCTTTAAGTACTCTAGTTTCAATGGATATTCAATATGTATGCATACTACACTTTTTAAAAACATTCGAGCAGTATTTCCACTATTCGTGCTGCCAGAACCTTGCATTGGAATATCTACCAATAAAGACATTTTAATTCTGAATCTTTCTTGGATGACTGCCTTTTGTTTATCGACTATGCTCTTGTCCGAAGCACGAACTTGCCACTTTTTAATTGGTAGACGATAGCCGTATGTAGTATACATTCAAAGCAGCGAGTCCAACAATGCAAAGTCGACAATCCGAATCTCAGCAAGTCCTCATTTCTTCCCAAGCTGTCAATTGCATCTAAATCGTTCATTGCCTTAGGCGTGGCTTTACAAATACCACATGTTTGCAATGATGTTTCGGCAATCACGCTAAAAACTTTGCCATCGATCAACGTAAGTAGCAATTGGTGGTGAACTTGAAGTGCACTTGTTACTTTAGTTAGTCAGCTACTTAAATGTAAGCGCGCCCCTTCAATTAAACCCCATGGGTTCTTGCTGAGAAGAAATTTCAATTTTCGTGAGCTGCTGCTTGTGCTCACATGCATACATACATATACACATTTGAGAGGGCAGAGAGCATCGAGAGAGAGAGAGAGAGAGAGAGAGAGCTAGGGAAACATTGAGCATAGAGTGATCTTTTGTTCAACATTTTCGGTCGAGCGCATGAAGGGAAATGATTGTGCTTTCATATATTTTCGTAGCTCGAACCTAAAAGAAAGGAGCCGAGCGAATCCAAAGCTGTCTGGGATGCTAAAGCCCCAGAAAAAGCGTGCAAAAAGCTTTCCACTAGTTGTCTAGTCTATGTGCTCTCTGGTTAGTGGTAAAGTGCAAGGAAAAGCTGTATCGATATTTTCTGTTTGTGAGCTGAGGGCTGATTAACGAAATACATATTATCGATATAGATGCTATCGATTTGCTAAATGAAGATATTAAAATGTTGAAAATTGGTATTTCGTTACGCTTGATTAGCCAAATCGCCCACTGTGCATCGTCACGATTCAGCTCTTATTAATTACACTCAGATTTGAATCGTGAATCAGTGATGTGGGCTGTGGCGAGACACAGAGAGCCAATCTCGAGAGCAGAATAGCCGGCGGCCGCTCAGTCCCAGCTCTGGTGTATAACACTCGGAGCCTTTCGTGCGGTGGCCCCCGTACACCGTAGAGGGGCTTAGAACTCTTGTATTACTGGGGCGTAATCCAGGCCTGAAAAATTTGATACTTCACAATACAAATATACATATACATGTATATAGTATTAGTTTATGAACGTGGTACAGTCAGCATCAAACAACTAAGAAAACTCTAGTCGAGCACTCTCGACTATCCTGAACCAAACTAATGAAAACGCAAATTTAGTATGGTTAAAGTGCCAATTCAATATGGTTAAAATATTATTATAAATAAAATAGAAAACTCATTTAACAAAATTAACAATAATCGATTGCGCGCTCTGGATTCGAGCCCGAGACTTCTCGATCAAGCGTCACGCCCCTAGTCACAACGCCACTTCACTTTTTAAAATTGCGATGGCAAAACTGTAAGAGATTCACTGATGCAGCGTCATCTAATAAAACTTAACCAAACTAACTGCAGATGTGATTATAAGAATGTGCTCGAATAAGTTTGAATGTATGTGTGCACACGTATAGGAAAACTGTTTTAGCTGCGTGTGTTAATTGGCCAAACATTTTATTGTTTTTAACATTGATTGACTTATCGGAATTTAATGAAACTTTCAGCATATAATCTACATATTCTATTGAATATTTGACAAATTAAAAAAAATTATACTGGCATCTGACTTGAACTTGAATGTTTTTAATCGAGAAAAACATAACAGGTGATTTATCGAATTTTAAAGGTAAACTCGACATTCGCGCTGTATATACAGTAATTTAAAAAAATTCAAGTCTCTAGCTCTAAAATCTTCTGAACTCGACGCGGTCAAACATACGAACAGACGGAGAGGGCTAAATCGACACAGCTCGACGCCCTGATCAAGAATATATATACTGCCACGTCTCCTTCTGCCTGTTACATACATTTCAACAAAACCATTATACCCTGATTTCCCATTGAAAATGGGTTCAGGGTATAAAAAAACAAGTAACAACGTTGCAGTCGGGCGTTACCGACTGCGGAATACTAATTCACACCCCATCAGCAATTTAGTAGTTAAGTTTAGCTCTAATACTGTAGTGAATTCAGTTTTTTTCGCCCCTACTGTGCGTACACCTAATTGGTCAGTTCTTAGAACGAACTTAGGGTACCCTAACTACAAAATTTGAATGCTTACGCTCAAAAATGTGAAAATTATTATTTTTTTTTTTTTTCGATATGCGACGCCTCTAAAGAGGTGTACCAATTATTTTTGGTCCATCGATAGAGGAGGTTACTAGTAACTCAACTATCCAAATTTCTTGCTCTTAAACTGTTGGAGATATGCACTTTTGCGGTTTACCACGCCCCCTATGGGCGGACATATACCTACCATAGCTCGTTGGACTTGGGTGATCAGCCCGAGTATATATACAAAATTTGAGGTCTCTAGCATCAATAGTGTTCAAAATATAGCAGAATTTAAAAAATCACTATATCTTCAGCTTTGCCACGCCCCTAATGGGTGTAGACATATAATTTTGGCATGAGATTTTATATAATCATAACATTAGCTTACTTGCAATTTCAGCGTTCTAGCTGTAAAACTCATGGAGATTCAGTTTTACCGATTTGCCACTCCCCCAATGGACGGAAATATATCAGCCAAAGCCCGTGATCCTGAGTGGTCGATGCAGATCTACATTCCAAAATTCAGCTTTCTAGCTCCTCAACTAATATGATTTCTGGCATTTCGGAAAATGCAATTTCCGATTTGCCACGCCCCTAGTGAGCGGATCGAGAAAATTTTAACACTATAATTCGGAGATATACACGAATATGTGTTCCAAATCTCAAGTCTCTAGCTTCAATAGCGCCGAAATAAACTGCGTTCATACTGACAGATGGACGGACAGCATGACGGACATTGCACAAGACCAATATACTAATTCACTTTCGTGAATGAGTATAAAAAGGCTTAGTGCCAACACTGTAAAATAAAAAATTATCTTCATATGTACAATGTAATTTCAATTTCAAAAAGAAGCATACCATACAGTACTTAATAATATGCTTATTATTAAATATACTTATACTTATTATTGAAAAATACATACATATGTATATTCTTTAAAATATTATCTAACACCCGATATGTAAAATAATACTCTTCGTTTCTTCTTCGAAAACAGTTTTAAATAATATAAAGTATGAATTCTTATGGGCATTACCGATAACTGGTCCATTTTTGTTATTATCCGATTGTATGACTTGAGGAGGGTCCACAGCGTTAGGCAGCCTTTTAGCTAGAAAAGTAAAGTCCTCGTCATATTTGGGATCCTTGTATACAGTGGTTATAACTTCATTTTTAATAATATCAGGTAAGCCCGGAATCGGAGACTTCATAAAACTAAAAAAAAAGATGATTGTTTCATTAATTTTATTATACATATTTTACGCAGGAAGAATAATAGATTACTATTTTTTACTTGAATACTACATTCATTATTACCAACTAATATTTTAAACACATTTTCTGTAAATTATTTCAATTTTTATTTTATTTTTATTATACCACTAATAATTCGAACAGCATTTTGTTTTTGCAGTGCGCAAAGCTTAACACATTATATTTTCGATTCTACTTAAGATAACGCATACTAATTTTTGATGTTTTAAAGAGAAATGTATTCTCTTAACGATGAAAAAGAACATTGCTATATTTTCAACAACAACAATAATATGAGTAATTTATTGAAACGGTAGACTTATGAGAAAAGAATAAATTAACCACCATATTTTAAATTGGACTTAATCTGGGCTATTTGGTAGCCAATCTAAAACCTCCATTTGATTCCAGCCAATTTTTGGTTCGTTTGGCTGTGCGCGGTGATGCTCCCACCTGCTGAAAAGTTCCAGTTCTGGTATTGATAGCATCAAACTATCTTCTAAAATATTAATGTATTTTTCAGCATTACCCGTCCCTTCAATACCATAGTGCTCGCAGCAAACTTTGCTGCTCGATTAAGGCAGTCTATGGTTTATTTCAGATCTCTCACGCATGACGCGATTTCTCGTATCGCCGACCGTAACATCAAATTTAGTATAATCGCTAAATTCCCGAGTCCATTGCAAACGTTTCTTTTTGCATTGGTAATAACAAAACACCTATATGTATATACTCATTTGCTTATTACATGTCAAGCATTTGTTGCCCTAACCTGTCAAATGCTGTAACAACTATTTATGTGTGCGTTCAGAAATTTATTTTGTGCAAAATATCTCTAAAGTTCAAGTAGGTATTGTTATATTTGTTTGTTTGTGTAAATTATTTATTAAATTAAAGATTTTTTCTACAGGTTAACAAAAGTTCATAGGTTGTCTATTATTTTTCTTGATAAGCTATTATCTACATATGTCTCGATTGTTTTATGTGGTTTCGTGCGAGTGCATATTCTATATTACTATTAATAACAATGCCGCGTCTTAGAAGATCTAATCTTTCCCAGCGGACCCGTAATGCAATTAGGCAACGGAATATCAATTATCTGACAAGAACGAGAAATCGCCCGAGAAGAGCGCCGCGTTGGTATGGAGCAAACACAAGAGCTGACCCGGCGAATTTCGTAACAGTCAAAGAATGTCGTGTTACCTTTTAGCGGAACTAATTTAGGCTTTGATGAACGTAATACAATAAAACAAAACAATATTAATATAGCCGAAGTTCGCCGGGTCAGCTCTTGTCTTTGTTGTTGTTGGCAATATACAAACCTTTTTTTTCCACCGTTAAGAGAATAAAATAAGGGCTCATAAATTGTTGTTATGTGTGATTTTTAGTAGTATTGACAATATAATATGTTGAACATTGCGCATTGCAAAGCTCAGCACATGATGGAATTGTGAAAAAAAAACAGTAACATTAATATTTAATTTGTATAACTTCAAATCAAATAAAAAATGTAATGCGAATTAATTTCTGACTATTAATAACAAGTAAGAAGACTCTAGTCGAGACTACTCGACTAGGAGATACCCTGAACCCTCTAATCTGATATTCTAATCACTCTGCACTTCTTTTCGGCACACATACATACACACACACGTATTAAAACGCGCTCTGCTAACTGTGCAATAAGCAGCGACTGCGCTTGGGCTGCGCTGCAGTGTGGGCAACATTATAAGAATTTATTTGTTGAATAATTTAATTTCTAAACGTACAATCTTAATGAAACTTTCAGAACAAAATCAGAATGTACATTCCAAAGCACAAGTCTCTAGTATTTGAAATACGCTTTTTACAAAGGTGAGGGTGAGGGGGTGGAAATAGGAGTGGGGAGTAAATTTTAACAAAAATATCGAAATTGTATAAAATATATATAAGTCTACATTTAAAATTTCGAAGCTCTAGCTCTAAAGGTATAGGAGATATAATTGAATAACTAGCTTTAGATAAGGTTTTTAATTTATAATAAAATATCGAGAGTAGTTATCGATATTTATAGAAAAACTTGATATGCGCGTGATATACACGGACCTAGGAAAAAAAATTTCAAGTCTCTAGCTCTTATATCTTCTGAGATCGACGCGTTCATACATACGGACAGACGAACGGACGCCTCCTTCTGCCAGTTACATACATTTAACAAAACCATTATACCCTGATTTCCCATTGAAAATGGGTTCAGGGTATAACAAGTCAGAACGTTGCAGTCGGGCGTTACCGACTGCGGAATACTCATTCACATCCCATCAACAATTTAGTAGTTAAGTTTCGCTCTAATACTGTAGAAAATATAGTTTTTTTGATTTGCTGATTTGCCACGCCGCTACTGCGCGTAGACACCTCATTTGGTCAGTTCTTAGACCGTGATAACGGTACCCTAACTGCAAAGTTTGAATGCTTACCCTCAAAAATAATGTGAAAATTACAAGGTATTTTCGATATGCCACGCCCCTAAAGAGGCGTAAAAATTATTTTTGGGTCATCGATAAAACATATAAAATTTAGGAGATATCAACTTTTGCCGTTTGCCAAGCCCCCTGTGGGCGGATATATATCGGACAAAACTTTTTGGTCTTGGGTGATCAGCCCAATTTGAGGTCCCTGGCATCAATAGTGTTCAAAATATAGCAGAATTTTAAAAATCACTATATCTTCAGGTCCGATTTGCCACGTCCCCAATGGGCGTAGACTTATAATTTTGTCTTTAGACTTCATAGAATCATCACATTAGCTGACGTGCAAAATTTCAGAGCTCTAGCTGTAGCTGTAATCTTGGAGATACAGTTTTATTCGATTTGCCACGTCCCCAATGGACGGAGATATATCCGCCATAGCTCGTGATCTTGGGTGGTCGACGCGGATCTACATACCAAATTTTAGCTTTCTAGCTCTTCAACTAACATGATTTCTGGCATTTCGGAAAATGCAATTTCCGATTTGCCACGCCCTAGTGGGCGGATCGGGAAAATTTTAACACTTTATGAATCGGAGATATACACGAGTATGTGTTCCAAATTTCAAGTCTCTAGCTTCAATAGCGCCGAAATAAACTGCGTTCATACGGACGGACAGCATGACGGATATTGCACAAAACCAATATACTTATTCACTTTCGTGAATGAGTATAAAAACGCATTCTGTGTATCCGACGTACGTTTTGCAAATATATCAAAAAATCGAAAAAAAAGATATAATTTACCAAAAAATATATCCCGATATAAATATAAATTTTAAACAAAAAATATCGATATATTAACATTTCGATATATTTTCGACAGCCCTACCCTGAACCAAATTAAGTAAAACGCACATTTAGTACGGTTCAAAACTTCTATTTCGATATATTGAAAAATATAAATGAAAGAAAAAACTCATTCAATTACAAAGTGTAATATAGTTATATTTATGTATGTATATATGTATTGCAAAAACTAATGACATGATGCACTTTGACTAGATGCAATTGAGAAAATTAAATATTTTTAAACAATAAGAATAAATATAAATCGCGCGCTTTGGAGTCGAACCCGCGACCACTCGATCGAGCGTCGCGCTGCTAGTCACAACGCCACTCCACTTTTGAAAAGTGTGATGGCAAAACTGAAATAGATTCAGTGTCGCAACACCATCTAGCAAATCTAAACTAAACTAACTGCTGATGCGATTCTAAGAATGTACTCGAATTAGTTTGAATGTATATGTGCACACGTATAGGAAAACTGTTGTAGCTGCTGCACGGTGCGTTTGTTAATTGGCCAAATATTTTGTTGTTTTTCATAGTCGATAGACTTACTTGAATTTAATGAAACTTTCAGCATATGATCTACATATTCTATTGAATATTTGACAAATTAAAAAAAATGGCAAATCATTCACAATTAGTTATACTGGCATCACTGGGGATTCTGGTGAATTTGGAGCCGGTATCCAAAATATAACAAAAATCGAAATTGTATAAAAATGATCTGAAGATATAGCTCTTCATCCTCATCAAGAATATATATACTTTGTGGAGTCTCCCACGCCTCCATCTGCCTGTTACATACATTTCAACAAAACCATTATACCCTGATTTCCCATTAAAAATGGGTTCAGGGTATAACAAGTAAGAAGACTCTACTGGAGACTGCTCGACCAGGATATACCCTGAACCCTCCAAGCTGATTATCTTATCAGTGTTGCCAACTTTTGTTCAGCAAAAAAAGCTGTTTTTAGTGGGAAGATACTTAAAAAAAAGCTGAAATTTTGTGAAAAAAGTCGGACAAAAAAGCTGATGGTTTTTGCTTTGCTTTGATTGATATTTACTTATATTTTTAGTAACTAGAAGTCATGGCTGCATTTCTTCAACCGTGGCAAGCCGTATCTGTAAAGTTTTACGCTATATAGGTTTTACCTGACGCTTAAAATTGAGTAAGCATATCAATATTCATTTTATTGCGTTGTTATGTTTTTACAGTATTGACCTGACTAAAACTTTTCGCCACTTGCGCGTTCGACCATGGCAAGGAAAGCAATGTCATTGCAAAAGTTGCCAAGTCCCTACATTTTTTATTTCCTCCCGAATTCTTATAAGCACACCTCTTACCCTAAGCTATGTAGAGTCTTAAGAATTTCCCCATTGAACTGGGAGAATATTCTTATATTGGTGTTCAATACTTTCAAAATTCTTTGAATAGAATAACTCTAGTATTGGAACGATACTATTTTTATTTACTCGCAAAATATATACATATGCAAGAAACAGAATTTTTCACCATTTGAAAATTTGCCGGCAGCTTATTAATTAAAACATATTTAGTTAACACAAACTACTACTACATGTTATCAAATGAGTTGCATACATTCTTTTTAATTGCTTTATAAGATCTATCAGAGAATTTCAAGTTCGATATTCTTGCTTAAATAAGTTATATTAAATAAAATATAAATCATATTTTAGTTCAGTTAGTTTTAGTTTTTTATTATCGGTTGGTTCATTCATAGTAAAATTGACCTAATTAACTATTTAGTTTTAATTAAACTGCAATGACAAACACTTCTACATACGATAAATCGCTACAAATGATGATAAATTGATCAGTAAAGAAAAAAGCTGAAAAAAAGCAAATTAGTTTTTTAAAAATCCAGAATTCCCGCTGCCCGCTGTTTTGTAATTTTTCCCGCAATTAGATTTTCAAAAAAGTCAGATTTGACGGGAAAAAAGCTGATTTGGCAACACTGAATCTTATCATTCTGCACTTCTTTTATGCACACATACATACACATTTATTCACACGCACGTATAAGCACACACTCTATGACTGCGACTGCGCTTGGGCTGCACCTAATGTGTGACTAATGTTAGAAGATTCTAAAGCACGAGTCTCTAGTACTTAATATGTTTTTTTTGTTTTTTTTTTAATTGCAGGCAAAGTGGGTATGGTATCCAAAATCTATAAATTTTCAAAATCTTTGTATTTATAAAATCTATATATATAGTAATATACTATATATACTATTTCGATACATACACTGCGCGTCATCAGGTTAGCGCCCCCCTTTACACTCAATCTCAAAGCTGAATAAAAGCTAAACCATCAGAGCTTCATCTTTAAATTTTTTATACCCTGAACCCATTTTCAATGGGAAATCAGAGTATAATGGTTTTGTTAAATGTATGTAACAGGCAGAAGGAGGCGTGGCAGACCCCACAAAGTATATATATTCTTGATCAGGGCGACGAGCTAAGTCGATTTGGCCCTGTCCGTCTGTCCGTCCGTCCGTCTGTCCGTATGTTTGAGCGCGTAGATCTCAGAAGATATAAGAGCTAGAGACTTGACTTTTTTTTTCCTAGGTTCGTGTATAGCACGCGCATATCGAGTTTTACTTTAAATATCGATAAATTGACCCGTTATTTTGTTATCGATTAAAAACATGATCGAAAACCAGTAATAAATTTTTTTCTCCTATATCTTTAAAGTTAGAGTCTCCAAATTTTTTATGCCACAATGCTCTTCTATTTCCTTCTGAAATCACTTGATTATTGCCGCTTATATAGTTTTTTCCATAGTTTTCCCTATTTGTAAGAAAATTGCCAACTAGTTTTCTGTTTTTCCTGTTTTTTCAGCAATTTTATGGTAGCATAGTCCAGATTTAAAGTATGCCTCAATCTTTGATTTTCAACCAAAGATAAAACTGTTTCATTACCCAAGCTATAAATATATTGAATACTTTGAGATTCACAAAAAATTTTGTGAGTGTAATTGCCAAAATAAGCAAGATAATTACAATTGCATTTGGGGGCGCTAATCTGATGACGCAAAATAAGTGCTCGCATTCTTTGCGAAAATAAAGAAGAATATAAAATAAAACATAACGGGTTTTCACTCGCGCTTTTTTTTGGTATGGGAGACATCTCATATGATGATAATGAAATCAAAACAAAATCAAAACAAAAATGAAGAAGTTGCGTGCAATAGGCAAAGAGACATTCGTAAAAGAAAATGAGTGTAAGGAGGGGCGCTAACCTGATGACGCGCAGTCTATATATACATATGTATATATATACTTACCCGTTTATAGCTGTATTTATCTCGGATATTGAAATAGTCCCGCCCATTCCATTAAATGATATAGATAAGTCATTCGGTGATTTTTCAGCCTTTTGATACAGTTTTTTAACCGTTTCATAATGAGGGCTAAATTTACTTATGTATAAATTATTTTCTCCTTTTTTGTTACGTTTGACTGAAAATAAATAGATCAATATATATTTTTATTTATTTAAACATAAGTGATTTTATTGTAGGTTTTAATAATATAATATTCTTAATAAGATTATGCATTTAGCAAAACGATTATGTGCAAAATAATTAAGAAACAGTAAGTGATTATGGCTAAAATATATCTTGAGCGCAGTTTGTTCAAACATACTCCAAATCTTGCACATAGCTTATACAAATACAAATGTTTGATGATACGGACGGACTCAGCGTCGTCCCGAGAATATAGATACTTGGAGTCTGCCACGCTCCTCCTGACGGGTTTTCGATATTTTTATCGATAACAAAATAACGAGGCAATCTATCGATTTTTTAAGCAAAACTCGATATCCGCGTGGCATGCTGAGTCCTAGGAAAAAAAATTCTAGTCTCTAGCTATTATATCTTCTGAAATCGACGCGTTAAAACATACTGACAGACGGACGGACGGACAGACGGACAGGGCTAAATCAAGTCAGCTCGTTACCCTGATCAAGAATATATATACGCCTGTTACATACATTTCAACAAAGCTATTATATCCTGATTTCTCATTGAAAATAGGTTCAGGGTATAAAAATTGCTCCTGAACAAAAATCAAACTAATGAAATTTTTTTGCAAAAAAATAAAGAAAGTAAAAACTAAATTTAAGAAATCAAACGCACTAAGAAACAAATAAGAAAGCTGTAGTCGAGACTGCTCGACTACGAGATCCCCTGAACCATTCGAGCAACTGATATTTCAATAATTATTCGCATAGGCACACACACAGCCATACGCACGCACGCATAAACATGCATTGGCTGTAGTGGTGGATTACTATGGGAGCTTAATTGTTTAATAACTTTTCTTGTGGATGGACTATCTTCATGAAACTTTCAGATTATGAATATAACATAGATATATGACAATGTATTTGCCAAAGCACAAGTCTCTAATATTTGAAATACGCATTTTACAAATATGTGGGTGAGGGGGTGAATTAGGGGTGAGGGGTAAATTTTGAAATTCTATAAAGTACATATAAATCTACATTAAAAATTTGGTAACTCTAGCTTTAAAAATGTAGCTCATATATTACTGGTTTTCGATAATGCTTCTAATCGATAACAAAATAACGGGGCAAATTATCGATATTTGAAGCAAACCCCGATATGCGCGTGGTATACACGGATCTAGGAAAAAAATTGCAAGTCTCTAGCTCATATCTTCTGAGATCGACGCCTTCAAACATACGGACAGACGGACGGACGGACAGAGCTAAATCGACTCAGCTTGTTGCCCTGATCATATATATAGGTTAACACCAGTCAATGCATAGCACTTCCTCTTCTCCCCTACCATCAACTTGGCGCCTCTGCTTCCTCACAAGTCTCGGCAGCGCCAGCGGCCGTTGGTAAACGGAAAGAATAGAAGCCGCCGCCTGTCGAAGAGTAGTCTGTGACTGGCAGCTGAACTCGATGAGACTATACTAACAATCAGAGCTTGCAAATGAGAGTTGAGCGTTTTTTCGTTTATTCTCTTCCTCGCATCATAACCAAAAAAAATTGTGCAGACACGTCTCTCTCTGAGCGTCACTCTCTGTTTTCTTTAGCATCTGTTTCGCTCAGACGCAATGCGATCACTCATTCGTGTGACGCTCTCACATGAGTGTCGCGTAAAACTAACACGATGGAAGCCTCACACAAAGCCTCTCAGCAAAAAACACTTTGACTAAAAAACTCAGCAGAAAATGTTTTTGCTTTCGTGTGCATGTAAATACACGCATACATACATACAAAAAGAACGCAGCAATCGCGCGTGATTACCCATACAAACGCAACTTACCGTTACTTCATTTAACTCAAGCAAACGATCAGTGTTTGACTTGAGGAAACGAAAACAGAAACAACTGTCTCCCTCAGAGCGCGAGAGAGCTAAGCCAGACGCGACAAAAACAGTTTCTGTCTGAGTTTTTTTGACTGTGTCAGTGAAAGACACTTCTTTGCAGACAACGAGCTATGCTAACAATTCATTTCGATATTATAACGATTTAAATCGAACTATTCCGATATTGTTTTTCTTTTGGTTTATCCGAATCTTGGAAACTAAATCACGATAAGTATAACCCTTGGACGTGGCCGCGACTAAAAATTGTCAGTCTGAAAACAAAACAGTGCCTAATCAAGTTAAATCAAAATTATGGATAAAGAATTAGCAAGCTCGTTGGCCGCCCTTAGGATAGGCACCAGTCAAAAAGAACCAAATGCATCAAGCACTCCGGTAGCTAGCCCAGAACTAAAGGACGTTATTAGGAGTCTGATTAAGATATTTTTCCAGGGCCAGAATGATAGGGCAGAAACGCTAACCGACGTACCAGTTATAACCCCTAGTCCAGGAGACCAGGAAAAATTGCCAGACTTTGCGAAGTTGGTTAGGGAGTTAGGGGAAATCGTACCGAGTTCAGCTCATGGAAGAAGAATGTATCACGTACTATGAGCTTATACGAAGGTATCATTTCACTGATAAGCGCGATCTGAAAACACTAGAATACCAGCTATTCTCGCTCACTCAAGGCAAACTGACCACTGCCGAATTCTATCAAGCGATCACTTCTTGATACTAAACCAGATCACTGTCCAAGAGTTGACACCCGAAAGTGTTAGGGCATTGATTCAGAGCTATAGAAAAAGGCTTTGGACACTTTTGTTAGTGGATTAAACGGTAATTTACTCACACTATTGGCGATCAAGGACCTCGTGATCTCAGCCATGCTCTACACCTGTGCGAGCTGGTAAAGAACCAAGAACAAAATACCTCAACTCCGAAGGTCCGGCAAATACCAGCACTGCCCCCTAGAGAGTCCTCCGCTCCTAGGTTCGCATCCCATAATCAGCAGTTACCAAATACAACTAACTGGCAAGCCTTCAACCCCAGAACTGGCATGCGACCCGCTTCCACAAGTAGGCCGTAACCCAAGTTCCAAAGGCAGTTCCATTTTGCCGGGGGAACACCCGATCAAGCAAACGAAGAAGTCGAGGAACAGACTTATTACGAGAACCTCGAGATAGCCGAAGCAGTCGCTTTCTACGAGCAAGGTGCCGAAGAAGAACAACAAGAACAAGAAGCAAACACAATCTATGCTTCATACGTTCATTTTCATACTCATTCACCAAAGTGAATTAGCATATTGGTTTTGTGCTATGTCCGTCCGTCTGAAATTGGTACACATACACATAAATTTTCCCGATCCGCCCACTGGGGCGTGGCAAATCGGAAAATGCATTTTCCGATATGCCAGAAATCATATTAATTGAAGAGCTAGAAAGTTGAAATTAGGAATATAGGTCCGCATCGACCACCCAAGATCACGACCTATGGCGGATATATCTACGCCCATTGAGGGCGTAGCAAATCGGATAAAACTGTATCTCCAAGAGCTTTACAGCTATAGCGCTGAAATTTTTATGATTCCATAAAAAAACAAGTAAGAACGTTGCAGTCGGACGTTACCGACTGCGGAATACTCATTCACATCCCATCAACAATTTAGTAGTTAAGTTTCGCTCTAATACTGTAGAATATACAGGTTTTTCCGATTTGCCACGCCCCAACTGGGCGTAGACACCTCATTTTTGGTCAGTTTTTAGAAAGAGATAACGGTACCCTAACTGCAAAGTTTGAATGCTTACCCTCAAGAAATGTGAAAATTACAGGGTATTTTTCGATATGCCACGCCCCTAAAGAGACGTAAAAATTATTTTTGGGGAATCGATAGAGAAGGCTACCAGTAACTCAACTATCCAAATTTGAAGCTTCTAGCTATTATACTTTAGGAGATATAAACTTTTGCGGTTTGCCACGCCCCCTGTGGGCGGACATATATCCGACAAAACTTTTTGGTCTTGGGTGATCAGTCCGAGTATATATACAAAATTTGAGGTCTCTGCCATCAATAGTGTCCAAAATATAGGACAATTTAAAAAATCACTATATCTTCAGGTCCGATTTGCCACGCCCCCAATGGGCGTAGACTTATAACTTTATCTTTAGACTTTATAGAATCATACCATTAGCTGACGTGCAAAATTTCAGCATTCTAGGTTTACAACTTTAAGAGATACAGTTTTATCCGATTTGCCACGCCCCCAATGGGCGTAGATATATCCGCCATAGCTCGTGATCTTGGGTGGTCAACGCGGACCTACATACCAAATTTCAGCTTTCTAGCTCTTCAACAAACATGATTTCTGGTATATCGGAAAATGCATTTTCCGATTTGCCACGCCCCTAGTGGGGCGGATCGGGAAAATTTTAACACTTTATAAATCGGAGATATACACGAGTATGTGTTCCAAATTTCAAGTCTCTAGCTTCAATAGCGCCGAAATAGATTGCGTTCATACGGACAGACGGACAGACGGACGGACGGACAGACGGACAGACGGACGGACAGCAAGACGGACATTGCACAAAACCAATATACTGATTCACTTTCGTGAATGAGTATAATTATAAGTCTACGCACATTAGGGACGTGGCGAATCGGACCTGAAGATATATTTTGGGCACTATTGATGCCAGCGGCCTCAAATTTTGTATATATACTCGGGCTGATCACCCAAGACAAAAAAAGTTTTGTCGGATATATGTCCGCCCACAGGAGGCGTGGCAGACCGCAAAAGTTTATATCTCCTAACGTATAATAGCTACAAGCTTAAAATTTAAATAGTTAAGTTACCAGTAACTTCCTCTATCGATCACCTAAAAATAATTTTTACGCCGCTTTAGGGGCGTGGCATATCGAAAAATACCCTGTAATTTTCACATTTTTTGAGGGTAAGCATTCAAACTTTGCAGTTAGGGTACCGTTATCTCGTTCTAAGAACTGACCAAAAATGAGGTGTCTACGCCCAGTAGGGGTGTGGCAAATCGGGAAAAACTGCATTTTCTACAGTATTAGAGCGAAACTTAGCTACTAAATTACTGATGGGGTGTGAATGAGTATACCACATTCGGTAACGCCCGACTGCAACGTTCTTACTTGTTTAGACTAAACATATCATCGTTACCCTATTTCAAATGTGTAACGCAAGACGGTACCACACTTAATTTCCTCATTGACACTGGCTCTAGCCAAAACTATATTCAACTCCATTTCATTAAAAGTCCGAAAACAAATAAAAATTAATTCTTCGTTAGCTCCGTTGGCGGACAAACCCTAATTACTCACCACACCTACATCGCTTTATTTGGCCGTAAAAAAGTCCCTTTCAAATTTTCCCTATTACCAACCCTAAACACCTTCCACGGTATCCTTGGGAACAATGCTCCAAAAAAATTCAATGCCATACTAAACCTCAAAGACAATACAATGACGTTAGATGGCAAATTACAAGCTCCATTTTGATGAGCTAAATACCCAATCAGTGAACAACAGAAAACTCAGAACAGAACACATGACTCCGTCAAACTATTAGATTCCCTTACGCAAAAACATCCACACCTTTTCGCAGACGCGGACGAAAAACTGACTTACACTACCAGGGAACATCATCGGATATTCCGGTTTACAGTAAACACTATCCTTTCCCGGCTTCGCTTACAACAGAAGTAGAAAAACAGGTGCAACAACTGCTGCAAGATGGCATTAACAGACCTCTGGAGAAAGAAAGTTCAGAGTAGTAATAAACTATCGGAAACTCAATTCTATAACCACATCGGATAGGTACCCTAACGACGAGATCGGTGAGATAATCGCACAGTTGGGCGGTAACAAATACTTCTCCGTACTAGATCTCAAGAGCGGATTTCACCAAATTCCTTTGAAAGAAGGGGATATGGAGAAAACCGCCTTGGCAATAAACGGTGGAAAATTTGAATTTACGCGACTGCGTTTGGGTCTTAAGAACACCTCGTTCATTTTCCAAAGAACGTTAGATGATATCCTAAGGGATTATATGCTACACTTACATCGACGACATTATCGTCTTTAGTCGTTCCGAAAGCGAAAACGCTAAAAATCTAGATGCAATATTTGCAACAGTAGAGGAAGCCAACATGAAAGTTCAAATAGACAAATGCGAATTTTTTAAGGAAGAAGTAAATTTCTTGGGCTTCACCATATACCGAGAAGACGTAAAAACAAACGCCGACAAAGTAAAAACAATAGAAAAATTCCCAACGCCTAGAACATCGAAAGACCTGATATCTTTCCTAGGATTTGCTAGCTATTATAGAAGGTTTATTCGCGACTACGCCAAGCTCGCTAAGCCCTATTAAGGGGCGAAAATGGACGCCTTTCAAAAAATATCTCCAATAAGACAATCAGAACGCTAGACCAGGACGCAATAGATTCCTTTAACAAAGTCAAAAGACCTTTAATCTCAGGAGACGTAGTTCTATCTTACCCAAATTTTAACATTTGACAGCCGACGCCTCCAATTATGCAATCACGCGCTCTCACAAAAACGGAAGAGAGCTAAGCAGCAAATAAAAAATAAATGCGAATGTACCTCTACGGTTCTGCTAAAGTGAAAATATTTACATCAACTTCTGAATTTTGCCCTTAGTTCCAAAAATCACAACGGCAAACTGAAACGTTGGAAGAGTTATTTAGAAGAATACAATCACGAACTAAGATACAAGCCACCTGGCTTAGAGTGGTACCTACAACAAACGTAGTAGCAAACGCCTTATCTAGAAACCCGCCAATTCCACAAGTAAATAGTACTACAGCCACGATCCATAGCGACGAAAGCTCGCCCCACAATTTCATTCCCGTCGAGAACGATCCCATTAACGCCTTCAAGAATCAAATTTTTCTAATAGAATCTGATACAGAGAGCGAATAAAATCATTTTCTGAGGAAAGCCTTGTAGACATTTTGAAAAACACGTAGAACCCAAAATTATAAATGGCATTTTCACTTTTAAAAAGATCATGGGAAAATACAAAATATCTATCCACTCCACTTCGGCTGTTTTAAAAGTAGATACACCTAAAGACAAGTTATCGACGTCACCTCCGAAGAGGAATAAAATAATATAGTAACTGCGGAGCATATGAGAGCCTATAGAAACGCTATAGAAAACAAAATACAAATACTGAGGAAGTATTTTTCCCTAGCCTTCGAAAGAAAACAGATGCCACTGCCAAATCATGTAAAACCAGCAAGGTTGCAAAATACGATAGACAACCGCCTCATGGGGAAATCCAATCCACCCCAGTTCCAACTTACCCTGGGGAAATAACCCATATTGACATCTCCACGACACAAAAGAAATTAGTCCTCACAGCCATTGATAAATTTTCAAAATTTGCACAAATAAAGATAATAAAATAAAAAGCGTCGGAAGATATAAAAAACCCGTTAAGAGAAATTATGACAGCTTTCGGTATGCCCAGATTAGTGGTGATGGATAATCTAAATTCAGCAGCCATAAATTTCCTAATACAGGATCAGTTACAAGCAGAAGTCTACATAACACTGTCGTATAACTTCACTAGCAACGGCCAGGTCGAGAGATTCCACTCAACTCTGACTGAAATTATAAGATGCTTGAAAACTGACGAAAGTTCACTAGATTTCGAAGATTTGATTCATAGAGCCATACAGGAATATAATGCCTCAGTACATTCAACTTCAAAAACTAAACCAATAAATGTTTTTCAGAAATAGACCCACTGAAATTACAAGTTAGTAGAGAAGAAATCACTGAAAAATTAAAACACAAACAAGAACGGGACTTGGACTATCATAACAAAAAGAAAACACCCACCAGAAAGTACCAGATCGGCGAAGACTCATCGAAGTGAATAGGTCACACCTACTTTTTCATTCCCTCAAGTTGGAATTAGCAAAGGCCGAAAATGAGCTAAGACGGCTTAAACCATTTGGAAGGAAGGCCAGGGAAATAGACGCATTGGGCACTGCATGGAAATGGTTGGCCGGTTCACCGGATTACCACGATCAGAGCAAAATGAACGAACAACTTAAAAACAATAATAGAGAACTAAACATAAATAAAGTACTTAATGACAGAAAAAATAATCTAACCCTTAGTTATAACAACATTTTCAAAGCAAATATAGAGAGGCAAACCTTTAATAATGAAAGAATTTGTTAAAATACAGACTTCAAATTCTGAAAGAAGAATTGAATAACTTAATTCACGCCGTTGATTGGGCAAAAAATAATACAATAAACTCCATGGTATTATCAGAATACGAAGTAGAAAAAAAATTGAACAATTGTACGGCAAAGAGGTTATGTTCATCTACATTGAGGAATTATTAGAATTTTCAAAAATCAGTCACCAACGACAAAATCCTGTTGTACATCATTAAAATACCACTAATTACTAGCGAACATTGTATATCCACCCTCCTAAACCCAATTAAGCAAGGAAAATTTTTTAATGAAATAAAATATAACAAGAAAGCTCTAGTAGAGACTGCTCGACTACGAGATCCCCTGAACCCTTCGAGCAATAGCTATTTCAATCATTTTTCGCGTCTTTCTGCTTACATTGAAAACACGCACTCACACACACACACGCACAAACACACAAAGATATATACACACCCACACATACACACACACACAAGCACCCACGCATAATCACGTATGGGCTGCAGTGCACTGTAGTGGTGGCTTACTATGGGAACTTAATTGTTCAATAACTTTTTTTGTGGATGTACTTTCTTCATGAAACTTTCAGATTAAGATTATAACATGTATATGCAAGCATTTGCTAAAGCAGTCTCTAGTATTTGAAATACGTATTTTACAAATATGTGGGCGAGGGGGAGGATATAGGGGTGGAGGGTAAATTTTAACAAAAAGCGAAATTGTATAAAATGCATATAAGTATACATTTTAAATTTGGCGACTCTAGGCTTAAAAAGGTAGCAGATATAAATTTTTTACGGGTTTTCGATAATGTTTTTATCGATAACAAAATAATGGGGCAAGTTATCGATTTTTGAAGCAAAACTCGATATCCGCGTGGCACACGTGGTCCTAAGAACAAATGCAGTAATGCAGTCTCTAGCTATTATATCTTCTGAAATAGACGCGTTCAAACATACTGAAAGACGGACGGACGGACAGACAGACAGACAGGGCTAAATCAATTCAGCTCGTCACCCTAATCAAGAATATATATACTTTGAGAGGTCTGCCACGCCTCCTTCTGCCTGTTACATACATTCCAACAAAACCATTATAATTTTGGTTTAGGGTATAAAAACTTACCTTCTTCCTCAGTTAAATGGCTATGAAGAGGAATAAGTGCCTTAAACAGTCTGTTTTCATCCACAAATGGTAGTAAAGCAACTCCTTGCCACGCAAACTTTTTCCCATTCAGATCTATTTTAAAATCCTCGGGGTAAAAGTCAATAATAGTTGAGTCCTAAAATTTAAAATATTAGATAATAGGTAAAATTTATAATATGTTAGACCGTCAATTCGAGTGGGAACGTGCTTAAACGTATATTCCGAAATACAAATGAATTTTCGGCTCCGATTTTTATTTCAAATATAAAATATGTAAAAATATTTATCTGAATTAATTCTATAACAAGAAAAGTTCACTAAAAAGCGAGCCATTCAAGTCATTATCAAATCGGGTTTCCATTTAGAGAGTAGTAGCTCGGAGTTCAATAAAAAAGTTTTATAACTAGAAAAATTGTACAAAGATGATGATAATGATACAGAAGCCTATCTGATAACAAGTAAGAAAGCTCTAGTCGAGAGTGCTCGACTACGAGATCCCCTGAACTCTTCCAGCAACTGATATTTCAGTGATTATTCGCATATGCACACATACACGCACACAGACAGACATACAGTCTGTCAAGCATAAGTTGGCACACTGAAAAAAAATTTAATTTTTTTACTTTGAAAAGTATTAAGTACCATTCATTCAAGCTCGCACCTTCCCAATAAAATATCTATTTTATAAAAAACGAAAAATGTAAAAAAAAAAAAAAAAACATCGAAGAGGTTTCGAGCCTCCCCTACTCTAACATAACTTCCGTCGCCCTTAGCACCTGCGCCACTGCTTTGCTTGATCAACCAGTTGCTAAAATAGAATAGCTTAATAAGAGAGCGTCATCAGACAAATCTACAGTAACGGCTAGAAAGTCCAGAAATCAATCGAAATTCTAAGAATGTGCAAAAAGGCGCGCTTCTGTCTGTACGCATAGAATAGACGATGAGTGTGTGCACATGTATAGGAAAATCATGCTGATCTGCTGCTAGCTTGGAGCCGGTATCCAATATATGTATGTATATAAATAAATATATAATAAAAATCAAAATTTTATAAATTATATATATAATTTGAAGTTCTAGCTGCAATGATGCAATGATGATAGCATTAGCTATCGATGATTTTCCAATTTTAATGGGATCATGCTATGTTTTTTGTTGCGCACTAGACTTGAAAATTGCACTATCTACGCTGGTTGACAGCGTTTGGGCTGTGAATGAGTAATCTGAAATCGGTATCGCCCGACTGCAACGTCCTTACTTGTTCTACCCTGAACCCACTGAAAATGGGTAATCAGGGTATAATGGTTTTGTGAAAAGTGTAACAGGCAGAAGGAATCATCGCAGACCCCATAAAGTATATATATTCTTCATCAGGACGACGAGCTGAATCGATATAGCCCTGTCCGTCTGTCCGAATGCGGAAAAGGATCTCAGAAGATATAAGAGCTAGAGAGCTGAAATCGTGTGTACCATGGGCAGTACAAGTTAATCATATTTTTTCGATAACTCATCCGATAACTTTTTTGTTGAGAATAATCGAAAAATTGACTTGGTTTTTTCAGCCTAATTTGAACACTTTTAGACCTGGAGACTTCAAATTTACGTTGTATATAATGGATACATGGATACAAAGATTTTGTAATTTACAGATTTTGGATACCACGCCCCCTTCGCCCTCAATTTGTAAAAATTAGAATGCATCATAATTGTTTGAATTTTCATAACATTGTTAAACTTTCGTTTCCAGTATGTCGTTAATATTATATTACAACACAGATTATTACTTACAGGCTTAGACATTAGCTCCGCCCATGGTTTTGGAACATGGGAACTGCTGGCTGCTGGAAACACTCCCATCAACTGTTCTAAGGGATTAAACTAAAATATCGTAAATTATACATTAGTAAAGAAAATAAATACATATATTCTTTGTATTTTTTATATTTTATACGTATAAGTATTTTCTTTTTATACCCTGAACCCATTTTCAATGGGAAATCAGGGTATAATGGTTTTGTTGAAATGTATGTAACAGGCAGAAGGAGGCGTGGCAGACCCCACAAAGTATATATAAGCTTGATCAGGGCGACGAGCTTTTTGTTAAAATTTACCTCCCACACCTATATCCACCCCCTCACCATCACATTTTAAAAGGCGTATTTCAAGAGCTAGACTCTTGTGCTTTGCCAAATACATGCATACACTGCGCGTCATCAGGTTAGCGCCCCCTTTACACTCAATCTCAAAGCTGAATAAAAGCTAATCCATCAGAGCTTCATCTTAATTTTTTTTTTTTTTTTATTATACTATATCTATTTTTCTTTAAAATAAAAAAAACAATGTCATCCGTAGCAATAGAGAATAATTTTTAATTTTTTTTTTTTTTTTTTTTTTTTTGTAAAATGTACAAAAACAAGTAAGAACGTTGCAGTCGGGCGTTACCGAATGTGGTATACTCATTCACATCCCATCAGCAATTTAATAGCTAAGTTTCGCTATAATACTGTAGAAAATGCAGTTTTTCCCGATTTGCCACGCCCCTACTGGGCGTAGACATTTTTGGTCAGTTCCTAGAACGATATAAGGGTACCCTAACTGCAAAGTTTGAATGCTTACCCTCAAAAAATGTGAAAATTACAGGGTATTTTTCGATATGCCACGCACCTAACGAGGCGTAAAAATTATTTTGGGTCATCCATAGAGGAGGTTACTAGTAAATTAACTATCTAAATTTAAAGCTTCTAGCTATTATACTTTAGGAGATATAAACTTTTGCGGTTTGCCACGCACCTGTGGGCGGACATATATCCGACAAAACTTTTTTGTCTTGGGTGGCGCGAGTATATATATAAAATTTGAGGTCTCTGGCATCAGATATAGCAGAATTAAAAAAATCACTATATCTTCAGGTCCGATTTGCCACGCCCCTAATGGACATACATTTTTTTAGACTTTATAGAAACATAACATTAGCTGATGTGCAAAATTTCAGTGCTCTAGCTGTAAAACTCTTGGAGATACAGTTTTATCCAATTTGCCACGACCGTAGATTGGGCTGAAAAAACAAAATCAATTTTTCGATTATTCTCGATAAAAAAGCTATCGGATGAGTTATCGAAAAAAATAAAGCAAACTCGTACTGCGTATGGTATACACGAGTATGCATGCCAAATTTCAGCTCTCTACCTTCTGATAACTTCGACGCTTTCATACGGACGGACGGACAGACGGACAGGATTATGTCGTCTTAGCGTCGCGCTGATCAAGAATATATATACTTTCGAATATCGAATACCACGCCTCCTTCTGCCCGTTACATACTTTTTCACAAAACCATTATAAACTGATTTCCCATTTTCAATGGGTTCAGGGTATAATAAAACATAACGGATTTCCACTCACGCTTTTGTATACCCTGAACCCATTGAAAATGGGAAATCAGGGAATAATGGTTTTGTGAAAAGTATGTAACAGGCAGAAGGAGGCGTGGTATTCGATATTCCGATAATCGCGAATAATCAGAAAATCGACTTGGTTTTTTCAGCTTAATTTGAACACTTTTAGACCTGGAGACTTCATTTGCGTTGTATATAAAGTTAAAGGATACAAAGATTTTGTAATTTACATATTTTGGATACCACACCCCCTTCGCCCTCAATTTGAAAAAAAAACGCATTCAAATACTAGAGACTTGTGCTTTGGAATGTACACAATTTTAACAAATAAATTCTCATAATATTGCCCACATTGCAGCGCAGCCCAAGCGCAGTCGCTGCTTACTGCGCAGTCAACAGAGCGCGTGCTTATAAGTGCATTTGCATGTATGTGTGCATAAAAGAAGTCCAGAATGAATAGCAGCAGAATAGCAGCTTGGAGGGTTCAGGGTATCTCCTAGTCGAGCAGTCTCGACTGGAGACTTCTTACTTGTTTTGGTATGAGGGACATCTCATATGATGATAATCCAGAATGATTAGAATATCAGCTTGGAGGGTACAGGGTATCTCCTAGTCGAGCATTCTCGACCGGAGCCTTCTTACTTGTTTTGGTATGAGGGGCATCTCATATGATGATAATGAAATCAAAACAAAAACTAAGAAGTTGCGTGCAATAGGCAAAGAGAAAAACGTAAAAGAAAATGAGTGTAAGAGGGGGCGCTAACCTGATGATGCGCAGTGTATGTTATGATCATAATCTGAAAGTTTCATGAAGATAGTCCATCCACAAGAAAAGTTAATCAACAATTAAGTTCCTATAGTAAGCCAACACTGCAGCCAATGCGTGTTTATGTGTGTGTGCGTATGTCTGTGTGTGTGCCTATGCGAATAATTATTGAAATATCAGTTGCTCGTAGGGTTCAGGGGATCTCGTAGTCGAGCAGTCTCGACCATTGCTTTCTTACCTGTTTCTTTCTTATTTCGCTTCAACAGTTTATAACAATATAACTTCAGTTCAATCTCTACTTGAAAACAAGATAGCTCTAGTAAGAGGAAAATTGGAGCCGGTATTCAAAATACAATCTAAGCCCAAGCTCTATGAAATATACATGAATCTAATGTACTAGCTCTAAAGACTTAGATCGATTTTGTCATTGGGCGTAGTTATATCAGCCATGTCGAATTGATATTGGGCTATCTAAAATGGCGACGAAATAGTTTGCATTCATACGGACAGAGGCACGGACAGCAAAACGGACATTTTAGTTTTACACATATACACCAGCAAAAGTACAGCAGAAGCTGTATACATAGAAAATAAAATAAAGAAGTAAATGATCCCTTTAACCCTTCAAGATATTTCAATAATTCTATGTTTCTTTTCTGCTTACACAAAACCCAATACGTGCACATACAGGCATACGCACTTACTAAGGGAATGGAAACTTTCAGGTCGTTATAATAATATTAAAATGCATGCTTTTACCAAAGCATATGTGTATAGTATTTGAAATACGCCTTTAAGAAATTTAAGGGTGAGGGTGAATTATAACAAAGAAGTAAGAGTGCTCTAGTCGGGACTGCTCGACTAGGAGATACCCTGAGATACCCCAATACCATGTGTATAGTATTTGAAATACACTTTAAAACAAGTAAGAACGTTGCAGTCGGGCGTTACCGACTGCGGAATACTCATTCACATCCCATCAACAATTTAGTAGTTAAGTTTCGCTCTAATACTGTAGAATATACAGGTTTTTCCGATTTGCCACGCCCCAACTGGGCGTAGACACCTCATTTTTGGTCAGTTTTTAGAAAGAGATAACGGTACCCTAACTGAAAAGTTTGAATGCTTACCCTCAAAAAATGTGAAAATTACAGGGTATTTTTCAATATGCCACGCCCCTAAAGAGGCGTAAAAATTATTTTTGGGGAATCGATAGAGGAAGCTACCAGTAACTCAACTATCCAAATTTGAAGCTTCTAGCTATTATACTTTAGGAGATATAAACTTTTGCGATTTGCCACGCCCCTGTGGGCGGACATATATCCGACAAAACTTTTTGGTCTTGGGTGATCAGTCCGAGTATATATACAAAATTTGAGGTCTCTGCCATCAATAGTGTCCAAAATATAGGACAATTTAAAAAATCACAATATCTTCAGGTCCGATTTGCCACGCCCCCAATGGGCGTAGACTTATAATTTATCTTCAGACTTTATAGAATCATACCATTAGCTGACGTGCAAAATTTCAGCATTCTAGGTTTACAACTTTAGGAGATACAGTTTTATCCGATTTGCCACGCCCCCAATGGGCGTAGATATATCCGCCATAGCTCGTGATCTTGGGTGGTCAACGCGGACCTACATACCAAGTTTCAGCTTTCTGGCTCTTCAACAAACATGATTTCTGGTATATCGGAAAATGCATTTTCCGATTTGCCACGCCCCTAGTGGGCGGATCGGGAAAATTTTAACACTTTATAAATCGGAGATATATACGAGTATGTGTTCCAAATTTCAAGTCTCTAGCTTCAATAGCGCCGAAATAGATTGCGTTCATACGGACAGACGGACAGACGGACGGACAGACGGACGGACAGCAAGACGGACATTGCACAAAACCAATATACTGATTCACTTTCGTGAATGAGTATAAAAATTTAAGGGTGAGGGTGAATTTTAGCAAAGAAGTAAGAGTGAAATACATAAGAGTGCTCTAGTCGGGACTGCTCGACTAGGAGATACCCTGACCCTCCAAGCTGATATTCATTCTGTACTTCTTTATACACACATGCACACATATACACATACACAGGCACGCACTCTTCTAACTGCGCAGTAAAAGCGAATAATTTCTTTTGTAGTGGGAATATCTTCATAAACTTTCAGAACGTGATCATAATATTCGAATGTGTGTATATTCCAAAGCAAAGGTATCTTCTACTTTGATTTGCCATTTGATAGCTCGGGTGATACTTTGTTAAGAATATTTGTATTCCTCCTTTGATCTGGCTCCCTATAAAGCCATAATTAAATGGAAAAGACTACTTCAACAGTCTATTGAAACGCAAAATAACAATATACATAGTTGAAGAAAACCAAAAAAGGGGCGATTTCTGTGGAGACTTTCATTTAATAAAGCATATATCCTGATATTTTGCAATATTTACTGGATTCAGGTCCGCGAGCTGACCAAAATTTTACTTAAGGGTAAAGAAATATTCATTTGATTAAATTTGTCTCCATTTCATTTTTTTTCGTCAAATTCCGACTTGTGTATTATATGGGGTCTGTGATGCTTTCTTCTGTCTGTAACGTACATTTTCACTAAAACGTTATACCCTGATAATTATTTTCAAATATCTCATATCTTCTGAAACTGACATGATACATAACGGACGTATAGACTCAGTTCGTCGCTTTGCTCAAGGATACATATAGTTTAACGGGTCCTCTACGCCTCCTTCTGCGTGTTACATACAGTGAACAAAATCATTACACTATAATTTCGCATTTCAATAGGTTCAGGGTATACAACAATAGACGTCGGTATCCGAAACTGTATAAACTTGTACTGCATCATTTTCAGTTTGAAAGTTTTGACAAATTTTATACAAAGATTCGTTCAATGTATAAAATCGAAATTATATTTTTTTTAACTTTAGCTGAATATCTCACCGGTTTTGTTCCTTTTTCGAATATAGTTGATAGTCCTTGAATATTAACAAAGTCCGAAGCAAATGGAGCATAATGGTAAGGAAAATACCAATTCCAAGAAGCACATCCTTGGTAATAATATTTTAGAACCCAGCACAGTCCTCTAACATATTGTAGGGCAACAGCATATCGAAATTGAAGATTATCGGGTGATACGTCAAATTTGGACTCGTAATATCTGTTCTTAAAACCATCTTCCCACAGTCGCACTTCATCATGGTTTTCTTCGTCATCATCCAAACTTGCTGCTGTACTGGAACGCTTTGACCCCATTCTTACGGACGCAGCTTCCTGTTTATAGTTTGTTATAATTTGAGCTTTAGCGGCTGGTCCAACTGCCGACGGTCCAAATACAGATTGTTCTAATGCTTTAAAGTTATTATTTTCCCTCTTTTGCCTCGCCTTGAACTGCTGTTCTCTGCGTTGTCTGTCCTTGAATATTTGATCCTCAACATTTCCTAAGTCTGTCATGATTAATTGCACCCTATCCAAATTAACTTCACCTGAATCTGTCAAATACCCTTTTGTCTTATAAACACATTTTTTGTACAGCTCAACCAGTCGATCAACTGCCCCTTCACGAATTTCTAAGCTCGGTAAATGAGGTAGAAAATCGTTTCCGACAAAAAAGCACATGAATACCCAGTCATCTAGAACTCTTTCAAAATCATAGCTGAACGGCAAATTGGGCATTTGCAATGTTTTTTTAAGATATTCTCTAAGCACGCTTAATCGAACAAATATAAATTTGACTTCTGCTCCAATGGGAATATCTGGTGTAAAATTACAGTTACTTGAGCCAACTGCACTAAGGCCAACACATTTGTCCATTTCGTGGCCAAATTGATTACAAACGTCACAAGGTCGTGGCTTATTTGGAAGAAATTCTTCGCGAATTATAGTAAAGTTTGGTTCGTGTGTTGCAAGCCCAAGCATTATAAGATCTGCATCAGCACCACAAAGAACGTGATGGGTGTTAGGATCATGATCAGGTTGTGCACGTTGTTTCCGAATATAGTCCATGATTTTGTGCTCTCCTTCGCCAGGAACATTTGCGTCAGATAAAATAACTTGTATTCGTTTCCATGCTGGATTGGTATTAATGCGATGATGTATATAATAATGTAAGCATTTACTTAGTCGATCCATAAAAGGTGTTCCTGGAGTTATGCAATTTGAGTCGAAGTGTTCGCCTTTTTCTTTTTCCGGTGGAAGTTTGCAGCCTAATTACAAATTAAAAAATACAGATAATATTATATGTAGTACGAAAAACTCTAGTTTAGACTGCTCGACAGCAAGGTCCCCTTAACCCGTACAAGAAACTAATATGTTCTGCTTACACAAGAGACAAAGCAGGCATACACAAATACGCACGCACTCACAAGCAAATTTTGAGACTCTACCTCTAAAGATGGAGGCGACAATTTAATAACTGATTTTTGAAAAAATTTAAGTTTAAGTTTTGTTTAATATCTTGTGGAGCTATAGAAAGTTGACTAGCTCAGAAAATTTGTAAACCTATAAAAAATTGGTTACCGTTGTTTATTAAATCCAATTCGATTAAAAGGTTTTAGACCAAAGAATTTTAGGCCCTTCTATATTTTCTTCTGATGGAGTCTGCTCCTTCGCTTACGACCATAAAATATTGGGTGACCGGTTTGAAATGAAGCCGTAGTAGAAAATCCATAAAATGATATTGGACAATTGCCGCATAAGATGCATTATAAAAACTGTCTTACATCGTATATTAAACGAAAATTTGTATTCAACACGAATTGGCTTGTGATGGACGATTTGCAAACATAGCTCATAGCTCAGGTATAAAATACCGAAACAAAAAAGAACTGGACCGAAAAAAAGTGTGTTCAATTACAAATTTGTTGAGCTTTCTTCATTACGTAAGGCCCTCTTTATATCATTATTCATTACAGGGCCTACAATAAATTTCTTTGTCCCATTTCACCGATATAATTCTATGTATTTTTGTTTGTATATGTATGTGTACATATACGGATGTACATACATATGTATATCCATTTAATATTCTCACCTCGTGTTAACAGTTCGTTTCGAATGCGTTCAATTTCTATCCTCTTTTCAATTGTTTCTTTTGCAGCGCGAAATCTTCGGGATCTCTGTTGATTCATTTTTGCCCTAGGAGCTACTCCATCGATGGCCATATATAATAATTTTCTCGGTCGAACAATACCAAAAAGTCTATCAATACATTCAAATATAGCCACCATCATTTCTTCTTCATTTTTAGGCGCTGGTTTGTCTTCAGGATGCGTGCAAGGATGTATTATTCCGTTCATATCAAGATATAAATTATCGAACTCTACGCCATTAGGATTGGGTAAAGTTGGATCTTCATAAATAGTCTTGCCTGTTTCCGCATCTGTTTTCTAAATTTTGTTTGTAAATACAGATTCAAAACATACCCGTCGCAAATTTACCTTATTTTCATTACATTCTATAATGACACATGGATATTTCTTGCTTAGCCATCGGAAAAACGCTGGTACTCCCATTTTTATATGTTAAGTCTCTGAATCTTAGCAGCCAAGACACTTATTGAAGCTGTAAAATAAATGACAACAATAAAACTAACCGGAAAAATATCCAGAGTTAGAAACTTGTGATCTAAAATTAGTATCGATATTATTTAATCCGAGTTTCCACCTCTACACATTTTTAAACGCATTCAAGATTTATCGGTTTGATATAATTTGTTTCCGTTTCATTCCGTTCAGCCACTAACCAGAGAACACATAGACTAGACTAGTGGAAAGCTTGTTGCACGCTATTTCTGAGGCTTTAACACCCCACCCAGCTTTGGATTCGCTCGGCTCCTTACTTTTAGGTTCGAGCTACGAAAAAATAGGAACGCACAATCTTTTCGCTTCATGCGCTCGACCGAGATGGTCAAATGTTGAACAAAAGGTCACTCTATGCTCAATGTTTCCCTTGCTCTCTCTCTATCACGATGCTCTCTGCTCTCTCGAATGTGTATATGTATGTATGCATGTGAGCACAAGCAGCAGCTCACGAAAATTGAAATTTCGTCGCAGCAAGAACCCATGCCTTCCCTTCTGTGTGAAGAGTATACCGAACTTTTCAAACCGTTTGCCAAGCTCCTACAAAATATTTGCGTTTTCGTTATTATTTGTGGGAAGGGTATGAAAGCGTTGGTGCGCATAATGAAAATGTTTTCGCGACAAGCATGCACACACACACACACACACTGTCTCTTGCTACATGTACCATAAGCATTTGTATGCCTGTGTGCGAAGCTCTTCATGCCTGTAGCAATTTTAAAGCCCAGCATTTGCATTTAGTCGATCTTGTGAAGTGATCTTCGCATGGGTTCTCGCTGCGACGAAATTTCAATTTTCGTGAGCTGCTGCTTGTGCTCACGTGCATACATACATATACACATTCGAGAGAGCAGAGAGCATCGAGAGAGAGAGAGAGCAAGGGAAACATTGAGCATAAAGGGACCTTTTGTTCAACATTTGACCATCTCGGTCGAGCGCATGAAGCGAAATGGATGTGCGTTCGTATTTTTTCGTAGCTCGAACCTAAAAGTAAGGAGCCGAGCAAATACGAAGTGGTCGGGGAACTAATGCTCCCACAAATAATCACGAAAACGCAAACATTTTGCATGAGCATGGCAAACGATTTGAAGAGATAGGTATACTCTTCACACAGAAGGGAAGAAACGGAAGTCTAACGCGAAGAAATTTCAATTTTCGTGAGCTGCTGCTTGTGCTCACATGTATACATACATATACATTTAAGAGAGCAGAGAGCAGAGAGCATCGAGAGAGAGAGAGAGAGAGCAAGGGAAACATTGAGCATAAAGGGACCTTCTGTTCAACAGCCGACCATCTTGGTCGAGCGCATGAAGCGCAATGATTGTGCTTTCTTATATTTTCGTAGCCCGAATCGAAAAGTGAAGAGCGATCGAAAAAAGTGTGCAAAACGCTTTACACTACGTGCCCGGTCTTTGTGTTCTCTGGCTAGTGGCGCATGAAGCGAAATGATTGTGCTTTCGTATATTTTTGTAGCCCGACCCGAAAAGCGAAGAGCCGAGCAAAACGCTTTACACTACTTGTCCGGTCTATGTGTTCTATGGTTAGTGGTGGTATTCATCAAATTTATACACACAGTAAATCTGGAAAAAATCTTGATAAACAAGTAAGAAAGCTCTAGTCAAGACTGCTCGACTACGAGATCCCAGAACGATCCTGAACCCTTCGAACAATAGCTATTTCAATAATTTTTCGCGTCTTTCTTACAAAAGCACACGCACACGCACACGCACACGCACACGCACACACACACACACACACACATACACGCACCCACGTCTAAGCACGCATGGGCGCAGTGTGCGCTTTCTATGAGAATTGTTTAATAACTTTTTTTTTTTGGACATACGATCCTTCATGAATATGATCATAACACGGATATATGTACATGTATTTGCCAAAGCACAATTCTCTAGTATTTGAAATACGCCTGTGGGGGGTAAATTTTAGCAAAAACCGAAATTGTATAAATCGCATATACATAATCTACATTAAAAATTTGGAGACTAGCTTTAAAGTTGTAGGAGATATAATTTCATAGCTGATTTTCGATAGGGTTTCTTATCGATAAAAATATCGGGAGGATTTTTTAAGCAAAACTCGATATCCGCGTGGTATACACGGACATTTCACAAAAAAATTGAGGTATCTAGCTGTTGTATCTTTTGAAATCGACGCGTTCAAATATAGCGAAAGACAGACGGACAGGGGTAAATCAACTCAGCTCGTCGCCCTGATCAAGAATATATATCCTTTGTGGGGTCTGCCACGCCTCCTTCTGCCTGTTACATACATTTCAACAAGACCATTATACCCTGATTTCCCATTGAAAATGGGTTCAGGGTATAAAAAGATGTTGAATGAGTTATCGAGAAAAGGTGATAAACTTGTACTGCGTATTGTATACACGAGTATACATGCAAAAGCTCTAGCTCTTATATCTTCTGGGATCTAAGCGTGCATACGGACGGAGGGACGGACAGGGCTATATCGACTCAGCGCGTCAAGAATACACATATGTATATGGGGTCTGCAATGCTTCCTTCTGCCTGTTACATACTTTTCACAGAACCATTATAACCTGATTTCCCATTTTCAATGGGCTCAGGGTATAATTACATATATCTCCTACATCTTTCAAGGTAGTTTCGCCAGAAGGGTATTGAGTGGTATACATTTTTTCTGGTTTAATAAGCACATAAATGCGCATATTTGATAACACAAAATTACGGGGATCCAGGGATACTTTAGTTGGGTGCCCCGAGTAAAGTTTTCTTAAAAAAAGTAATAGAGTATTATAATTGTATCGAGCAGAGAATTGTCTTCTATAATAAGGAATTCAATCGCCTTGAAAATATTTTGAATTGTAAATTGTATGATTGCTTAAATAGGTCTTTATTACAATGAATTAAATAGATTTACAAAAATTATACTTATGATAAAATAATACATAAGAACATAAGCATTGTTTTTTCAAATATTTTTAACCTACAACTTAAAATAATGTGTTTTTATTAGGAATGTATAAGCATTCCAATTTTATATAAATGCATTTATACTGTGAAGCTTGCAGGCTTAAATAAAACTGATATTAATACATTTATTTATGCCATTATTTATTCTAACATATTTTGATTCGAATATATAAACATACACAAATACGCAAGCACATCTTGAGAATCCAATTTCGAACAATGGTTTAACAGGTGGTTTCTGGCATGGGTTTTGGCTTCTGATGGCTAATATACAACTCCGTTTTATCTACAACTGTTGAAATTTTAAGGTTGTATTTAGCACTGCGACCGTCTTTCTTAAATTTCAATATGTCTTCAAAGCCTGTTTTATCCGTTATATCCTTTTCTGTGGGTGTCGCGGGAAATTCGTAAATTTGTGCTCTTTGCGCAAAAGTTTCTCCCACAGCATATTCTTGATTATTAACACTGCTATCATTACTCAATAAAAGTTGTACATTGTCCATTCGACCCATTTGTTCCGATAGACGACGAATATTTAATTGAAGTTCATCTTTAGACGGTTTAGAAATTGAAGAAGAAAAGCTGTGCCTACTGAGTAAATTATTGGAATTGTTTACATTTAAGCGATATGAATTTCTATTTTCTGTGTCTCTTAATTGATTTGGATTTGTAACAGAATTTGAATTTATTGATACTGATTGAAGTGATGTTAAATTGACATATAAAGAATCTTCAAATGAACTCAGCAATGGTTTACCTTTAGCTGGTGAAAAACTGGCTGATTTTGTCGGAAAACTTTTCTTTTGTGAATAATGTATGTTACAGATATTATTAAACGTATTTTTTAGACTAGGAGAAGGAGGTGCAGAAAGTACCGATTCCCCATTTCTACATTTTTGTTGATGTGGCATATCTGGTTTTAAGTAAGATTTTTCTTTTGTTTCTGGAACAAAATCTGCATTTGCACAACCTGATCTTACATTTCCATTTTGACATCTTTCTTTAGTAAATGCTGTTTTTTTGTGACCACTGTTTGGACGCTTGACCCAAGGATCCGCTGTACTTTTCCCAACTTCAACTAACCCATAATCTGACAAGTCAGTTTTCTTTATCCATGGGTCTATACCTGAAACTCGTAGCAAAGAATCTGTACTTCTTTTGTTATAACTATAGTCAAAAATAGAGTTTTTATAAATGATATTTGGCGATGTCTGCTCAGATTTACTAATTTTGAAAATAAATTGATGTCTATTATGATTGTCTTGAGCCTCAAGAGAGCTTTTAGGTTTCTGATTTACATCTAAAGAAATTTTTGTAAATTTTAAATTACTTGTTGACATTTCCTTTTTACGTAAATGTGTTTCTTCCATAGTATTCATATCCTTTTGATTCGGCATGTTCTCAAGCATCGAATTTAAAAAATTTCTCTTCGGATTATCCTTAACAATACATTTCATTGCAGAATTTCCTAAATAATCATTTTGGTTTATTGATTTTGTAAATCTACATATCTTACTAGAATGAGCTGTTGTTGCTAGTATCTCTTCTTCACTGAAACAAACTGGATTTTCAGAAATTTCTTGAACATTAATTGTTTTCTTTGCAGACTTTTGTTTGATAATTTTATTATCTATGTACCTAGCTGACAGTTTTCTTTGCTGAGTATTAGGATATGGATTGAGATGACCGGGAGAATGTGGAGAATGTATAGGAAGTGTCGGAGCAGGATTACAAAGTTGCTTAAAGCTGCTTAATTGCATCTCATCTGTATTTTTAATGATATACATTGAGCGATTTTCGAGTTTTTTAGAGTCAATTTTTTCATATTCATTTGAAAAGGTAATATCTGATTGTTGTGAAGAACACATACTTTGGGCCATGATAGCGGTGTAGCCCGATTTTTTTTGCTAGAGAAACTTTTCTGCAACAATTTTTGACGTAGTCGAATTGGATGTTGAGAGACCTGAAACGATATCATTGTTTAATACTTTTATGTCAAAAAAAATCAAGCCGAAAAATTGCTAAATTCTTCTAATTGTAAATTAAATTATTATAATCAATAATATAAGCAA